TCTATATCTTTTGGCAGCCGGGCACCATCAGCTTTAATAAGTATGCTTTTTGTTTGCAGTGTTTATAACCTTGGTTGGTTAGAATTACTCTCAAAGACATCGAATCGTTCACCCATGGCCACATAGAAATGTGAGGAGAGCCTTTTGTTTCAGCTTTCAAGATTAACACCCGGCGCTTCTTATGCACACAAAGAGCTGAGCACCATCACTGCAATAGAACATGAGGATTCCTGTTGTTTGTCATCATTATTAGCCACAAGCACAGATCCATGGCTTTCTTCCTGGCCTACACTTTTATCACATATAGTCAAATCATTCCCAGTCTCATTTTATATTCCAGCTCTATCTGCCCACCATCTCTTTGTGCATATTCCTGCCTTTGCCCTCCTTTCCACCAGTGTAAATGCAATGTTTACATCAAGACTCTGTTCAAATAGCATCCCTTCACTAATTTCCAGACTCCCTTCCTGGCCATTCTTCCCATCTTGGTTAAGTGCCCTGGTCCTGCCTTCACCTCCTAGACATGCATATTTTGTAATATGTGTTGTTGTGATGACTTGCCACCAAGTCAACTCCCAATAGCAGGAGCCTTTTTGTCCATCGGAATGAAACACTGTCCTGCCCTGCACTGTTTGCTGATCGTTGCTATGTCCATGCTCATGGTTGTGGCCACTGTGGCTATGTGAGTGCCTTCCTGCTTGGGTGGCTAACTTTTCAGCACTATGTCGGACACTATTCTGCTGTGATCCATAGGGTTTCTATTAGGTAATTTTACAAAGTAAATTGTCAGGCCTTTCTCCTTTGTCTGCCTTAATTTGGAAGCTCTCCTGAAACCTGTCCACTTAGGGCAAGCCTACTAACATTGGCAATACAGATGGCATCACTTAGAGTACTGAAACAATGTGCAACCCGCCACAGTGCACCACACAGTTGTGCTGTACCTCCTCCTACTTACCCTCCTGCATTAGATCCATATGCTTACGTTTCCCGCACTCTCACTCAACTTGGAGCTCCTTGGAAGTAGAGATGGTCGCACCTGTGCACACATAGCGCCTAGCTCAGTCATCGTTCTGGTGAGCACTCACTGGATCTCCAAAGAAAGAACCAGTGAGAAGCGTCTGTAAAAATCCTAATGTCTCTCCCATAGTAAACATTTAAAATTAAATGGTTTTTAATTTTCCTCCCTACTCTGACAATTCCTTTCATTGTTGGCAGCCCCCAGCAAACATTGGATACCAACTCTGAGATCTACACCATCATGGATTGCCTAATGCTTCATTGCCTAGTATAGTAGTCACTAGCCCCCCATGGATGTTTACATTAATTAAAATGAACATTTTGATTTCCTGAAGCCATTCTTGAAGTGGTTCAATGTCACCCATGGCGAGTGCCTACCCCATTGGACAGTGCAGACCTGGAACATCTCCATCCTCACAGGAAATTCTATTGAACTCCACTGACCTGGAGGGTTGCAAGACATACCCTTCCTGCCAGTATGACAAAACGCTGAAGAGAAGACTTGGAAGGGAATCATTTAACCCTGAAACAAAGACATGAAGCACCATAAATAATAGTTTATGTTCATGTGAAGGATGGACACCAGACACCTTCATTTTAGTCAGA